AACATTGAGGGAGACAGAAGTGGCCCCAGTCTTCAGACTGAAGATGTATTACAGCTAGATGGGTCTCCTGGCAAAGACCATGGCCAAGGAGCTGTGCCACAGGGTAAAGGCACTGAATTTGGCAGCAAAGGAACTAGAAGAAATCACTCAACTACTTTGTAAGAGAGAAAATCATGCCCCAGAAAGGCCAAGCATCTGGGGGTCTAGTTCCCCAGCCAGCAAGGGCCAGGCAGTCGCTCCCCAGCCCCAGTGCCCATGAGCCTGGGTGACAGAGAAAGAGACCCTGTCTCAAAAAAAATAAATAAATAGAAGGTGCCTGGAACACAGTCCATGCTGGAAATGTGTTTGTTATTACTAGTAGTACATCAATCCCACTAGTTCTTTAAAATGTATGTTAAATTACTGTATCTAACATAGGATGAGAACTTGTCAATGGAGGAAAATCGGGGATCAGGGTGATCAGAAGCACTCTGGCACTACCACGTATCTGCGTAGTTGCCCTGCTTGCCAATTCCGGGGAGGGAAAAGGAGAGACGGAGATTCCAGGAGGCCAGGTCCCACAGTGAAGGAGAAGAATGGGTCAGAAGCCTTGGTCCCGGATCAGATCTGGTTCCCTCTACAGACAACTGACAGGAGGGAACAGTGCCCTGAACTCCAGGCACGGTGCCTTCATTTAGAGAGAAGCTGCTTGTGGGCAGGAGCCTGAAGCCCGGCTTCTGAGGCAGCATGATGACCAGCTCTCTAAGACCACAGACCCCAGAACCAGGTTGCCACGTGTGAACCTCAATTTTGCACCTACTGTGTGTGACCTGTGGCAAGCTACTTGACCTCTTTGTGCCTTAGTTTCCCTATCTATAAAGTGGGGATTAAAATACTATTTACTCCCAGAGAGTTGTGAAGATTACATTGGTCTATACGCATAAACTACTTGGAGTGCGTATAAAAGCACCCTGTGTCCAGTGTAGTGGGGCTCATGCTTATAATCCTAGCATTTGGGGAGGAGTCCAAGGTGGGAGGATCACTACAGATCAGGAGTTTAAGACAAGTCTGGGCAACACAGCAAGACCCTATCTCTGTGAAAAATTTTAAAATTACTGAGGGATAGTGGTACATGCCCGCAGTCCCAGCTTCCTGAGAGGCTGAAGCAGGAGGATTGCCTGAGCCCAGGAGTTTGAGGCTGCCGTGAGCTATGATCACACCTACTGCACTTGAGCCTGGGTGACAGAGAAAGAGACCCTGTCTCAAAAAAAAAAAATAAATAGAAGGTGCCTGGAACACAGTCCATGCTGGAAATGTGTTTGTTATTACTAGTAGTACATCAATCGCACTAGTTCTTTAAAATGTATGTTAAGTTACTGTATCTATAAATCAGAGACTTAACTCTCTCTTTAAGCCATCAGGAATGGAACTATCTCACACAGTTCAGTGAACTCTACTCCACTGTGCTCTGGGCACCACAGTATGGCTCATCATTTGTAGGTTGGGTGCAAAAGAGATTTGCTGTGTGCCATTTGCAAACCAGGAAGCTATGGTCAGAACAAGTCGCATGGGAGAGATCTTGACCACATTTCCACCCTACCTTCGACTCCAGGTAAATGTTGGCTAAGGACATCTTAGAGATTTTGTAGAGACAGATGGAGAGAGACACAGCACAGAGCACGAACAGCGTGTCATTGATGGCCACTCGCACAGAGACGATCACCTTCCTCTCCCCGTTTCCCGTCTTCACCAGCACGGCACAGGTTAAATTCACCAACAGGAAAACAAGACTGATGAAGAGCGAGGCCAGGTAGAGGGGCAACCTGGAAAGGAGGAGAGAGAAAGGTCAGGTGTTGTCCCCTGCAGGCAGGCTGCACATCCTTGCCAATCTAGAAGGGCTCTGCGGTATGTTCCGGTGAACCCCAGGAGCAGACGCCAAAAGGAACAACACTCAGAACCTGGACTTTGGCAGTAGCTGGTCCTGGATATGAATTACAAACGGACCACAGATCGTGCCTCTGGAAAAACTTCAAACTCTCTGAGCTGGTTCGGCGCCTGTGGTTCAAGCGGCTAAGGC